ATCGTTGCTATTCCACTTAACGCATAGAATTGGCATTTCCTGTAACCATCATTAACAGCCACTCAGCATCTGATTAGTTTACTCGACTTGAGTTTAGTTCATCCGACATCGAGTCAGTTCCATCCGCTGCCCCCTCGGTTTTATGGGTCCTGGCCTGGCCTGTAGGAATCGACGATGGAGGAGCCGGTCTATGACCATGCCATGCCATACCAATACCAATTCGGGTTTTTTGCCAATTCCTAGAAGGGCATTACAGGCCATGCGGGTAATAAGAAGTGAGGAATTGCCGCTGGCTGCATTTTTAAGACACTTAAAAGGTTTTTTGTTTCTTCTGCCACATTTTCATTGCATCAATAAAAAAGTCAACGTCGCTGCCGCTGCTGCTGCGTTCATTTTGGTCTTTAATGAGCGGCGGGGCGGTGGTGCTGACGGTGCTGGAAAGTTCTTGGGCCTAGGAACCCGAACCCACTGCCAAAGATTGACAATGGAAATGAGGTACCCATGTGGAAGTGGCTGCCAGAAGATAGTTTTATTTATAGCATCTCCTAAGCGTTGCCATTAAAATCTCTTGGCCAGTTGGCCCCCTGATTAACTCTGGAGGTTTTTCTCGTTTAGGGATGGGATGCAGCCCAATGCCAATTAATTGGTTGCCGTTGCCGATGCCGATGCTGTCTTTGGCCAAATGCTGCGTCTGATGCAGCTGCCAGACTGCAGTGCATGGTGCATGGTGTCTGGGTTGCCTTGATGAGAGGCGCCAAAGCGCCAACACCCCATGCCATCCATGGACCCAGCTTCACGTACTCAGCATTCCTGTCAGAATTCTAGTCTGCTCCGATCCGATCCCGCCCTGCCCCGGCCCGGCCCGGCCAGTGAGCTGTACTAATTAATAATAATAAAACAAAAATATCCACAAAGCCCAAGCAGGAAGACGGCGCTCAGGTTCTGCCTCAGACTGGGGGCTCAGGCTCCGGCTCAGGCTCCGACTAAGTTCCAAAACCCAACTAAGCCGAAGCGAGCAAGGACAGCTGAGCTTATGGGAGCCGAAACAATTTGATACTCTTGGATATAAATATCAGTCCCAAAAGCGTGTTTCTATGCCCAGTTATATGCTGCCTTTGGGTAATCATAATGCCCTCTGAAAGGGTACAGCGAGACGAGACCAGTCGCCTGCCGTTTATTTTTAGACAATAAACCGCAGATGCAGCCAACAGGCAACAGGCGGCAGGCAACAGGCAACTGCGAACGGCTAATGGTAATGAGCTGCAAGCTATTTACAGTTGGGCCACGGCCTTGCAGCATGCCACCGAGCCACCCACCCCCACCCTACCCTCCCTTCCGGCGGCAGCCATATATTTATGGGCCAACATCAATCTGACTTAATGCCTGTTGCGGCTTGATTAGCATGTCGATGAGCTTGAGGAAGCCATCGCATTGCAGAGATGGAGTTGGAAGTCCGAGGTAGGAGGTGTAGCAGGTGGATGGATGACTCTATGACTGGACGGATGACTAGAGAGGGTTGACTGAGTGATGGCTGAACATTGAGAGAGAGCGGGCAGGTACGGGTACGAGTATGTACGAGTATTGTACAACCCCCAAAAGAGTCGTTGAATGGCCTTCAACGTCCTTGGCTGTACATTTATTGAACTTGTGTATAATTATAATTTATTTACCTATTATCGAGTCTCGATTTTAGTTGTTGTTTCTGCCTTTATGGCTCACGTTTTGTGCTCGCCAAATATTATAATTTATGTGAATATTGCGATTCGAATCTCTAGCCCCTAGATAGACTCGTCTCGTCTACGTTTGCGCCTCTCCATACCCATACTCGTACGAGTATCTCGTATCTCCTCCTATCTCCCCCTGTCCATCGCCCTCCGAGCCATGTCTATTAGAAAACAATTTGTATTGTCTAAGAGTTAATCATTCATAGCGTCATCGATTTATTTTTAAACAACGTTATTAACGCCTTAGCATATTATTTCATTTATTATTATGTAAAAATGCGTTTTATCGTAATTTCAATTATTTGTTTTTGTGTCTCGCCTCTTCCCCCTCCCCAAGGGAAATAAAATAAAACAAACGGCTTTCTGTGATTTTTGGAACGTATCGCAGTATCTGTGATCAAGCTGTGGTGGCGCTTAAAAACGCGTCCCAAGTGTCGCTATGGCGTTTATAAACGCGTTGTACGCCCTTTACGCTGTGGCGATAAAAAGCGCACCCCTCTGTAGAATGCCAAAGACAAAAGTTTGCGTTGCTCAATGCGTTTCAAGTCGCTTTGTGTCGTTTTGAAAACGCGCCTTCAGTCGCATAGGACTTGTTGCTGGGGCCGACTGCCGCACTTGGAAATGTTGGTCAAACTTCGAGCGCAAAGATGGCCCCGAGACACATGAGATAGACAAATCAACATGCAAAACAATGCAATATTGGGAAGAAATGCCAAAAGAAGACCGAGGAGAGCGAGCTGGAAGGAGGCTTGAGAAACACTCTTGGTCGATTCTGTGAGCGATTCCGGTGAAGACAAACGAAATCAAAAAGTCATCATGCGCCACGAGAAACCGAATCTCAGAATCTGAATCTCTTGGCGAATCGCAAGAATCTGCAAGTGTGAGTGTGCCTAATGAGTATTCAATTGATGCAGAAAGCAGCGAGCAACGAGAAGGGAGCAGGGAGCAGTGAGCAGTCAGAAGCGGCCATAAATGGCCATTTGAAAGACGTTACAGTTCGATCGATCGAGCGAGCGCCAGATGCGAGATTCGATTAGGAGAAGAAGTAGGGTGAAAAGGCGCTGGAGAATCGATGAACGATGAACGGCGAATGAAGAACGAAGACCGAAGAACTGCGGGCCGGGCACTTCAGACTTCAGCCGGGCCGGGCTGGCCCAGTCCGAGAGGTACGATAGGTACGAGATGTGTAGAAGTGGGCTGACTCCAATGATAGGAAAGAAGCTGTGGCACGGAGGAGACCCAAAGCCAGAGCCAGAGATGGGGAAACAACAAAAACAAAATTTAGAAAGAAGTGCGCCTTGGGAATCGGGGTCAATAGGAAATGAAAAGTGAAATTTTGGCTGCTTAAAGCTCTCTGCCACGGTTTCTGGCTTTTGTTGTGTACTTTACAATATATTATCAGTGCTCGTGTGTTTTTTGATTTTTCGGTTTTTCGATTTTTTTCTTTGTGATCTTTTGCCAAAGGAACTTGCAATTTAAATATCATTAAATTCTGGGTTAAGTCTTTGTGCCGGCCACTTGAAAATTGCCACCGTATAATCAGTTTTTGACAGCCGACAGGGCCGCAAGCCAAATTGGCAGCGACTCTTGGCCATTTCACTGGACTTCGAGTGGGTCAGTCATGGGCGAAATGGCGACACTCTGTCCATGGTGTGGCGAATGGACGATTAATTGTGCGAAGAATCATTCAACCATCAACCAGAGAGATATAGAGAGAGAGAGGTACACGTGATAGAATGGATTTTCCAGCTGGGTAGGTAATAAAAATGAATAGCTATTAATTATGCATGTTATTTGTAATTGCAAAAACAGAAATGAGCGTAAAATAAACGTATAAACTTGCCAAATGGTTGTCAATTGCCAGGCGATATAATCAATTAGCACGACTTATGCTGCACTAGGCAACTGCCACAAGGCAGCCCCTGCCACTGCCACTACCACTGCCTCTTCGATCTCCACAGATCCATGTCCGAGTGGTATGGCAAGTACTTGTATTAGCCTCCAGCGTGACTCATTCACAGCAGAGAGTTCGTGCCAAACGAGACCTTCTGCATATTGAAATCTGGTAAATAAACAAAATACTACACAAAAGTCTATTATATGAACAGAAAAAAAACAGAAGAAGAAAAACCCTAACTCAAACGGCAATAAAATTTAAGTTCATCGCAATTAAAAGGGCGCGTATCTCTGGGTGCCAGACTCTTCTCTTGGCATTACTTCTGAGCGGGCCAAAGCCGTAAAGCTAGCTGAAAAAAAAAATAACGAGCTAATAAAAGCAGTGTACGATGTATGTACAGCGGCCAAGCCACCACCACAGGTGTCTGCCTGCCTTGAGGGGAACGGAACCTCATCGCTGACTGATGACGCGACAACAGCTAGAGTGTTCCTATCAAACAATTGAGTATTAATTTTAATAAATAATCACCGAGAACGGAAAAAAAAAAATAATAAAAAATAAAAATTATCACTGATTTGTTGTTGCGGTTTTTTGCATTGGACGACCGACGGGAGGTTATCAACACAATGCCTTGAGTCATCTGCCGCCCCGAATAGAACATGGAACACGCTTAAAAACGTATTATGGAAGACGGAAATGAAATGCCAGGAGAGAAAAAACAAATAGTTGTATATTGTATTATAGATGGATGGTATTCATATACGAGTGTATAAAATACGCAAATAGTGAAAAATAAAATGCCATGCATGGGGGTAAGCAAGGTAAGCAGATGCCAAAGAATAAATTAAATTTGCGTATGGGCCGCCGCTGAAGAATCCCAAACGAATCTAGGCAGTAGAATCTCTTCGTGTTAGAGTTTAAATTTAAACCCTGAGCTCAGACCCACTGGCATGTGGCATACAATTACCTATCCGGAGATGGTGGAGAGCTGCGAAAAGTGTTATCAGCCACAGGCCAGGCCAAGCCAGCCCGGGCCAGTGCTTACTTTCCTATGTAGCTAGCAGAAGCTTCTGGAATGGACTGGACTGGAACCACAGCAGGAGTCAAATTACCCCGACGACTGTTAAAACCCAAGCTAATACAACAACAACGTAATGCGAACAGAATTGTTAAATACATTGTTGTTTTAGTTTTTTTGTTTTTTGGCAAACAAACAAACGAAAACATTTGCTGGGCAGCCGAAAAAGATGATAAATGATGCGCGTGTGCAATTCCCCCGAACAAATAGTTTCGCTTTTGTTGTTTCTCGTGTTTTAATAAAGCTTAACTAATTAAACATCTAACCAGACACACACACACACCACACCACACAATTTAATATACTTAGTCATAGACATGTATACCCTTAGTACGTGCGTGTCTTGGTGTAATATAAATAAATTTATTATTAAATTCGTAGTTTGTGTTAAACAAAACACCTTTAAAATGTTGCATTAAATTCAAAGCTAAAGCTGAAGCTGAAACTGAAGCTAAAACTGAAGATGATTGAGGTTTTTGAACCCATCGAAGGACAGCGATCGATTCTTCGAACGAACTTGACTGAGTAATTGGCCAAGCGGATTGGGGGGAATTCCAGTCGGTGTGGTCTATGGCTTGGTCAGATTACTCAGGCAAGGTGAGTTGTTGGTGAAGAGACTGGGCAGGCTGAAAAGATTGAGGTAGGTGGACAGAAAGGTGGCCAGTATGCCGAAGAGCAGCACGCCCATGGTGCAGGAGATGTCGCAATCGAGGCGATGCAGCAGCCGCACCAAACGCAGCCAGCAGCCGCGCGGTGAGTTGGGCTTGGCGGCCACCAGTAGCGGCTCCATCTCGAGCTCAACCGGATCGTAGTTCAGGTCTAGCGGCAGGCTGCCATAGCTGCCCTCGGCGGCGATCCGCTGGTGCACCCGCTCCATGCGACGAATGCGACGGTAGAGCAGCGGCGGCAGAATGAACACCAGGGGCCCCGTTATGGTGCCACCCACCACATCCATGAGGGCATCAAAGCTCGGCACAAACTCCGCCACGAGCACCTCCAGGGCCAGCACACTGGACCGAATGGCCATGCGCTTGAAAGAGAGACCTGAAGAGCGGAAGAAAAAAGGAATCTGGTAGAGTACTGCATTATGGGAATGGGGGGGATACTTACTATCCGGCAGCTTGAAGTAGTTTTCGATCTGCAGGAACATGGCAGAGCTGGCCACAGCCACGGAGAAGCAGAGCTGCAGCGACATCAGGATGAGCATCACGTAGAAGGGCACGCTCGTGGGTAGCGACTGCAGCAGGTTGTTGGCAATCATGGATCCAAACTTGTAGGCGGCAATGATGGACCCAAAGATGGCCACGCTGCAGGTAACTAATAGTGGGTATAGGTATGGGTACAACCTCCATTAGTAAGCAATTCACAGCATGTGGAATTCATCTGGCAATCACTTACTGACAATTCCAATCGTTGCCGCCCAGGAGACCTGCGACTTGCGCTTCATGTCGATCTGGAGGGTCAGCAGCACCGGATGGATGTCGAACTGGAAGGCCAGAATGCTGTAGCTGTTCAGCATGGTCAAGAATCCCGGCAGCTCTGTGGAGAACAAGCCATGGGCATAAGCCTTAAAGACAGCGAAAACCTGTTCCCATTTTACCCACCCAAGGAGATGCCCTCGAAGGGTGTGCCAATGGCAGGAGCAGCAAACAGACAAAACCAGAGAAGCGCCACAATAATAATCATCACACAGACGGCTATGATGGCGAGACCCCTGCATAGAACGATGGAGTAAAATGTGGCATCAGAGCATCATCTTACGGTTGCTCGCCTTCTCGCTCACCTCATATGCTTTGGACTGCCCAGCCACATGAGCGGACAGATGATCAGACCCACAATGATGGCCCAGTAGCAGTAGGAGAAGTTGTAGTGGCCAGCGCTCATGCGCAGGACGACAGCCTCCAGGTTCTCGGCGGCCATCACCACACTGGGCACGGCCATGGCAAAAATGCTGAGATCCAGCAGCACAGAGACCAGCAGACTCACATACGGACCGTAGGCCAGCTCCGCCAGGGCGGCATAGGGATAGTTGCGCTTCTGCAGAATGGAGGGATCCAGGTGCTCGGCCATGGTCCAGCACTGGGACAGCAGAAAGGATGTGTAGATCTGCAGGAAGATGATGGACAGCACCAGCAGCACTCCAAAGTAGCCCAGCTTCACCAGCAGAGCGGGCAGCGTGACGAACGGGAAGATGCCGAACAGATCCACCACATAGAGGATGGCAATGAAGAGCGACAGGTTCTCCGGCTCGTCCTCGTAGGCGCGGAAATGGGGCAGGGCACTGAAGCGGGCGCGCGACAGGAACGGCAACTGATCATGCTGATGCGAGGGCGTCAGCTGCACGGGCGGACGCCGCTTCGGCATGGGCAAAGGATGGTGCGCGCGAGGGGCGTGGCGCTGGCTTGACATTTTGCCGTCGGAAGAAGAACATTCGCGTGGCCTCGGACTCGGATGTAGACGCGACAACTGGAAACACTCAACTGTGGGCCCGTCTTAGACGCGCCCTGAAGTGTGCTGGCAACAAGTTCTGCCATTTGTCATCCGACACCGAATGCACTGGGAAGCCCCTGCAATGCACGTCGACTCTGACTCTGACTCTGTCGCTGGTCAATAGCAAAGTTCAATGCCTTCATGCCTAGCTCCTTGGATGCCGGATGACCCACAAAATGGCGAGGAAATCAATTAATCCATGTGATTTAAGTGTTTATTTTTACATGCTCATATCAACAATAGTTTCCCCTCCCCCTCAATCCTGTATCGATCCTTGGCATTGTCTTCATTCAGCTTAAAGCTGCACTTGGGCAATTTTCTGCTTCTTGGCCTGGCTCTGTGCATAAAAGATTCCATTACTAACAGCTCATCGACATCTACATCTATGTCATACATACCTCTGATTTCTCATCGCTCTGCATGGTGATGACCTGCACCGCCTGGCCCGGACCGACACGCAAGAGTTTCGGGCCACGCTGCGATGTGTCGCCGCAGCAGAAGACCCGCGATGTCGCTTGCTGCAACTGCGGACTCGGGCTGTCCGACTCGTCCATATCCTGCTCGCTTATGAGGGAGCTCGTGGCGTTCTTGTTGTTGTTGTCCGTGTAGGCGTGATTAAAGATCAAATGATTTGGACGCACTGCATCCGTTATATACTTACTACATACACAGTCCACGAGGTTAGGCAGGCGTGTCAGTACAACAGCAACAAAGGTTTGGTTATTGTTTAATGGGAATACATTTGAAGTGCCCAGCGGCAATATTGGTGTAAGTAATTGATACGTACACTGACCACCAAGGATCTCAAGAATTATAGCACCATATATATGTATGTATATTGCGGGTATTAACATAGGGTCAGGTGTAGGTGTTAGGCTCGTGGCAAGAACAGGGGGCAGGAGCCACATTAAATAAGATAGATATAGTGTACTAAATATATATGTATATATATACATGCAAAAGCCAGACTGCAAAACAATCGCTAATAGGAACTTGAACTTTTCTTTATGTTTTTTCTGCTTGGGCTCACTCACACTCCATGAAGAGACGCCACTGCATTGCAAGGGCTTGAGATATTTGCGTGTGGTGCTGGTGGGGTAGGTGCCGATTGTGACGATGGTAGAGCGGCCTCGGCTGCGGCTTCTGCGTTTGCTGTTGCTGCAGTACGCGTCATGAGTCGCCCTCGGGCGGTGCTGGTGCATCCTGCCTGCTGTTTGAGACATAGAAAGAGACGTACAAAGAGTTGCTGGGCTGTGCACTAGGATGATCTCTAATGTGCGGCTGGTGTGCAGTGTTCAGTGTACAGTGTACGAGTGTGGGCAAAGTAGCTAATCGAATGGCGACTCATTCAGTGTACGTATCAGGATGGAATGTAAGTGTACATGAGGGATATACATATAGATACAGGGGATAACTGGGGAATTTCCACCTACGATTTAACGTTGAACAATCGCTGGCGCTTGATGTACTCCAGCACCAAGTCGTCTATCAGATATTTCACCGACTGCCCGCGACTCAGAAGACGTCGCACCAGCGTGGAGCTCACCTCATTGGGCACCCAGTTCGTAATCAGCGTGATGTTCCGCTGCAAATGTACATTTATCTAGTTATGCTCATTTATGTTATGCAATTTACATACCTGATATTTGGTTAAGACGTCAGATTCAAATATAAACTTATGGGGATCGGAACCGCAGCGAGTAATAACCACCAGACCATGGTTGGCCACAATATCCTCAATCTGTTGGACACATCGTCAGTGAAGAGACCACAGGTAACAATTAAACTAAGGGGAGTCTTACATCGGAATCTGCCCAGAGACCTGGCACGGCAAAGGACTCCAGCAAGTCGGCGCCGCACAGCAGCTTTAGGTGCACGGGATCAGTGCGCTCTCGCAGCGAAATGGGAAGCCATCCGGGCAGGGAACCGCCGTTTGGCTCTGCATCTCCAGCACCAGAGGAACAGTTGACGTAGTTGTTCATGAAGTTCTGGTGGTACTGCAGAACGGACTGTGTGCGCATCCACTGGCTCTGGTGCACCTCCCAGTCGGATAGGCGTACCCAGCTGGAGCTCTGAACGGCCAATTTCACCATAGCGCAGCGGTCCAGCGATGAGGCCAGCCCCTTCTTAGCATATGAGTCATGGGTGGGCGAGATAATGCCGCCCACCACCTTGTGCGTCCCCTGCATCTCAAAGTGATCCCTGGCTATCTCTGTGCACGCGGCGAGTGGGTGACGGTATCGATTATATTTGGAAATTACACAATTCGCAAAGCTGAAGCCGCATGCCACTTACCAAACAATCGAAGGTGCATCGGCGTGGGCGGACTAAAGCAGCCGCATGCGATGAAGGCGATGCGGGGCAACAGGCACTTTGTTTCCTCCATGAACGCCGACATTTTAAACAAAATTTATGTAAATAATTCCGTACTTCAACCGTAATGTTTGTTGTTGTTTAGACAGCTGTTTTTCGCATGTGCATGCTGCCAACTGGCTACAAATGGCCATTGACTATATCGATGTTTTTAGAGTACTCCATCGATGTTTTTAATAAAACACGCTATTTGCTAAGAAAAATTAATTTTAGTTGGTCTTGTTCTTCCTGAGAAGCTTGTTTCTGTTTAGATTATAGAACACAGTCTGGAACAATATCATTTAAAATAGTTAAAAAAAACGATAGTGGTCTGACAAACATCGACGTTTTGCCACCTCTAGATCTGCCTCAGAACGATTAGTGGGCCGAGTTATCGACTAGAAATGGCGTCCTCACTGTCTTTCTTTTATGAAAAATTCGTGTAGTCGTATTTACAATTTATCAACGTTGTTTGTTCAATTATAAGGACGAGTGCGGGGCTATTCTCGACTCAGCATCATAATCTAAGTGTTTTTAGTGGCGTAAAACGGCGACGACGAGCAAAAACAAAGCAGCAGGCAGCGAAACGAAAATGCATTTGTGACCTGACACAAAAACACACCCAGGTAGACAGACAAGGATAGCGAAGGAGAAGGCAAAGTCAAAGGGCAGGAGGCGACGACCGCTGCTCCATCATCATCAGCAGCAGCAACAACAAATGGCGCTTGTGACGGTGCAGCGCTCCCCAAGTGTGGCTGGCTCGGGCTCGAATTCGGTGAGTGTAAGTGCGCGGATGCAGGAAGAGGGCAGAGATGCAGTTGGCTGCATTCTCCACACCACACCACACCACCCCCTCCCCAATCTTATCTTGCCGTGTGTTTTGTTGTGAATCCCAACCGACAAGGAATGCGTCTGTTTGTGCGTTTGTCAAGCTGCCTCTCTATCTCTCGCTCGCTCGCTCTTGCTCTCGCAATTGTGCTTTGTTTTGGTTTTCATAATTTTATTCGGAGTGAGTGGCTTGGCTTGGCCCTCTGACACGGCCTATAATCGCTCTTCCTGTGCGTGTTCCGTCTTTTGGGTGCATGATCCTTTGTGTGCTGTGTATTTATTTGGCTTGTGCCCCCGAATGGCTGTCTCTGTGTCGTCTCTCTTTTGGCCGTGCCGTGGCGGGTGTGTGGGCGCTTGCGGCGCGGCGCGTCAGCGTCATCATCATCGTTGTCGTTGTCGTTGTTGTTGTTGTTGCTTTTGTTGTAACTCAACCAAATCCGTAGCAGACGTCGCGACGTCAGCCGCGCGCCTATATGTATATTTTTGCATTGCCTTATTTGTCGTTTTGTCATCCGTCGCGTCCGCTGTGTGAGATTTTTCTTTTTGGTTCCGTTAGCGCCTACCGTCCGCCCGACGCGGCCGCCCCAAAAATAGTTCTCAAAACCTTGAGACATCCACACGTTCAAATAGTATCCACATTAATGTAGGTATTCATGTGGCACATAAACACTATGGGGGGCAGGAGAGCCTGCCCTTGGAATTTTAAATCAGGCAATCAGACAATAATCGAGAGATCTTTATCGTACGTACACTACACCCTTTCTGAACTCATTTCCCCCGATGAATGTTGGTTAAAATGGTAGACCGCTTTGATGATGATGATGATGATGTACTTACGAGTAAACAGTGCTGGGTGAGTGGGTGGGGAGTGGAGAGAGTGATTGAGTCACAGGCGGCGGGTGACTGTGACTACTCCCGTGGCAGGGACAGAGCAGCATCAGCATCTGGTGGGAGTAAACAAAAATTAAAACGTTTCCCGTTACTCCCCCTTCCCATGCGCACAACAGGATGGCGAGGCCGATGACGACGAGGGCAATAGCAAGAACGAAAAGAGCGAATGCTTCTTTGCTGGCAAAGGAACCGCCCTGGTATTAGCGCTTAAGGATATACCGCCCCAGCAGCAGTCGGAGCGAAGGCTGAGCACGGACTCGACGCGGTCCAGCAACAGCACACAGAGCAACAACTCCGACATACAGCTCCATCTGCAGTCGATGTTCTTTCTCCTGCAGCGCGAAGACACGCTCAAGATGGTCAGTAACTGATTTTCTCTCCCTGCAAAATACTTACGAATAATTGTTTTATTTTGTTGTCGACAGGCTGTCAAACTGGAGTCGCAGCGTACCAATCGCACACGTTACCTGGTGATTGCCTCGCGCAGTTGCTGCCGCCGAACTGCCACCAGCGAGCGTCGCCGCAACAAGATAATGCGTCACAATTCGGCAAAGGTCAGCTCCTCCACAGCCTCCTCGAACAGCATTGCGTCGACGGTAATAACGCAGCGGCAGCATTCAGAGGACGTTGCACCATCAGCAGCCAGTAAATGTGATAAAACGGCGGACAAGGAGAATGTGGCAGCTGCCGGCGACAACAAGAACATCTCGGGCATGGAAGAGTCCTGCCTGCTGGGCATCGACTGCAATGAGCGGACGACAATCGGTCTGGTGGTGCCCATACTGGCAGACACCACCATTCACCTGGATGGCGATGGGTGAGCCTCTGTCTTGTGTCTGTTTGCCGACAGCCCCAACACTGATTTTCCTACGTTTCCCTCCCTGCAGCGGCTTCAGCGTGGCCGTCTTTGAAAAGACACACATCTTCAAGCCCGTGTCGGTGCAGGCCATGTGGTAAGTGTGTGGGACAACAACCTAATCCACTGCAGCTCTAATCCCAACTCAATCCTGCTGGGAAACAGGTCAGCGCTTCAGACGCTGCACAAAGTATCGAAGAAGGCTCGTGAAAACAACTTTTTATGCGAGCGGCCCCTCGCACGATTGGCTCTCCAGCTACGAGCGACGCATCGAGTCGGATCAGTCGTGCCTGAACGAGTGGAATGCCATGGATGCGATAGAGAGTCGCCGCCCACCCTCACCAGATGCCATACGGAACAAGTATGAGTCCCCGATACGTTCATAATTTCTTGATTTAATGCAATATCTCCCTACGAACTATAGGCCAACCGAAAAGGAGGAAACTGAAAGTGTCATTAAAATGAAGTTGAAAGCAATCATGATGTCGGTGGACCTGGACGAGGTTACCTCCAAGTATATACGCGGACGCCTCGAGGAGATACTGGACATGGATCTGGGCGAGTACAAGTCGTTCATTGATACCGAAATGCTTGTCATACTCGGCCAAATGGATGCACCCACAAAGATATTCGAGCATGTGTACTTGGGCTCCGAGTGGAATGCCAGCAATCTGGAGGAGCTCCAAAAGAATGGGTATACCACACAATTAATGCACCGAGGACACTCCTCGTATCCTCTATCCTAAGAAAACTGATGCATTTCCTCTCGTTTTGCAGCGTTCGCCATATTCTGAATGTGACGCGGGAGATAGATAACTTTTTCCCGGGGACCTTTGAGTACTTTAACGTGCGTGTGTATGATGATGAGAAGACGAATCTGCTCAAATACTGGGACGACACGTTTCGGTATATTACACGGGCCAAGGCCGAGGGCTCCAAGGTGCTGGTGCATTGCAAAATGGGCGTGAGTCGGTCCGCTTCTGTGGTGATAGCCTATGCGATGAAGGCCCACAATTGGGAGTTCCAGCGGGCGCTGGATCATGTCAAGGAGCGGCGGAGCTGCATCAAGCCAAACAAGAACTTTCTGAGCCAGTTGGAGACTTACAGCGGCATGCTGGACGCCATGAAGAACAAGGAGAAGCTGCAGCGCAGCAAGAGTGAGACGAATCTGAAGAGCACAAAGGATGCGAGGCTGTTGCCGGGCAGCGAGCCCACGCCCCTGATACAGGCCCTCAATCAGGCCAAGTCCAAATTGAGCAGCGAGGCTGGTGTTGTCACACCCGAGGAGGAGGATGATGGTGCGGGACAGGATACAAGACTTTCGCGACTTCATCGCCGATCGGGCGCACAAAAGCAGCGACGCATGGTGCGACGCTCCAGCAGCACCTCCCCGAAGACCCAGACGGCCGTCGTCACCAAGCAGCAGAGCCAGTCAATGGAGAACCTCACGCCAGAGCGCAGCGTGGCAGAGGAGCCAAAGAATATGCGTTTCCCCGGCAGCAATGGAGAGAACTACAGCGTCACCCAGAACCAGGTGCTGCACATCCAGAAGCACACGCCTCTGTCGGTGCGCACACGCGTTCATGATCTCGAGGCGCATCGCTCGGATCAGTTGCCACATCAGTCGCCGTCACAGTCGCAGGCCCAGCCAGGCCCTGTGTGGACATCACTGACCAAGCTTATCACTCAAACGTCCCATTTGGGTGGCAATGCAGCAGGAGGAGGAGGAGGAGCGGGCAGTGGAAGCGCAACCGAAAGAGGAAGTGTAAGCGGCAGCGGTAGCATTCTGCCCCGTAGAGATTCAGGCTCCTCAGATGTGTTCTCGTCGCAAGTGGACAATGTATTCGCCAAAGAGGAGCGGGAGAAGCGCCAGCGTCGCAAGACACATTCGTGGACGGAGTCATTTGGACCCAGTGGCGGTATCATACTGGATGCGACGCCCCAGCAGTCACAGCAGCAGCAGCAACAATCCATCATGCTACGGCCCCGCGGGCTGCGACAGCGGGAACTGCCGTCGCGCCACTCCAGCTGGGGATCGGGGGACAACCGGAGCAGTCTGCCGCTGCGCACAAGTTCCTGCAGCTACTACGACAGCAACCGCAACACCACGGCCATCTTTGAGGGTGAGATCCAAGACCTGAAGCGAAGCAGCAGCAGCAGGAGCAGCATTGACCCGAAGACTGCCAGCAACTGCAATGTCAGTGAGGTGGGAAGTGTAGGAAGCGTAAGCCAGCTGGGGACAGTCAAGCGCACCAAGCAGAAGCTGGAGGAGAGCACAGTGCTGAAGAAACGGTGCCCAGAGGATGCCCAGGATCAGGACCAAGAGCTGGATACCATCGTAGGAGATGCTGCTGCGGTTGTAGGAGGTGCTGGTGGTGGCCAGAAGAGGTGTGCGACCCTCTATCGGAGCGCCTCCTCGGCCAACAGTCCCAGACAGCGGCAGCCGCTCCGCTGCAACAGCGAGGAGCTGATGCACACCAGCGATATTGAGAACAAGAATACCACCAGCGATCTGGAAGCGGCGACTGCGGCGGTGGTTTTGCGGGTGGGCCCCAGTCAGACGCTGGCTGAGGATCAGCGAATTTCGGGTAATGTGCAAATACTCAAGCAGAACTTTGAAGCCAAAGCGGCAGTGGTTGGCGTTGGATCGGTAGCGACTGTGGCATCAGCAGCAGCCGCAGCAGGTGCACCAACGGTCAGCGCGACGAGCACCACTGCAGCCACTATTGCTAGTCCTGCTGGCGTATCCAGCTCGGCAATAGCTGCACCACAGATGGGGGCAAGAAGACGACGACACACCAATCACTGCCCTCGTCGCCAGTTGCACAGCACGCGAACCATGTGTCCTCCTCCAGTGCCTCCTCAACGTCGAACTCGTCCGATTCCAGCGTAAGCGAAAATTGTGATCGTAATGTAAAAGGTCTAGTGCATAAATATCAAACCACTTCCTGCAGTAGCCAAGCTGCCAGCCAGACTGCAGTCGTCGTCCCGCCTACAACCACCACACTGCCGCCGCCGCCACCGCAAGCGCCTCAGCCATTAACCGCCAGCCACAGCAACAGCACTAACTGCAACGCCACCACCACCACAACAACAAACGCCACCACCACTAGCTACAAGCAACGCCCGCGCTCCTACTACGATCGCTCCTCGCTGTCGAACAAAACGCACGATTACAGCGAGAGTCGACCGCCGCCCGCACCAGCCAGACTAACTGCCAGCGTCAACTACAGCAGCAGCAGCCACACCAGCCACGTGCAGCTGCCGCAACAGCAGTCTGAGCAGCATCAGCAAGTGCAGATACGGCGTCTGGCACAGCATGGAAAGACCCATCCACTCACTAGGCTAAGTACACCAAAGCCAGGCTTCAATACGGCTGCATACAACACCATGTAACGAAATGCTATTTCTACTTACTCATCAAACAAGCTCCACCTTCCACACCATTTCACACTCCACCCCTACACCCACACCACAGCATAATAGCCACTAAGGATCGCCCGAGCATTGTTTGCTTTTCGTATTTATATATTTTCAATCCGCTATCACACGCTTTTGTCCTCTGTTTCTGTCATCCCCTCATACTGTCCTCAATAATGTGTAAGCTTGTGTAGTAGTGTATACGTCTCATATGTTCTGTGAAGCGTGTTCATTGAAGACCGACCGACCGACCGAACCGTCGATCCGCAATCTTGAAACTGTGTGAAAAGTGCCGTCAGGGACTATAAAACAAAACAAAACAACCTATGAAATTGAAACTGTATTTGTACTTTTAAATTACTTGTAACTGTATACATATTTATTTTATATTATGCAAGAACTGCCTACGAATAAACGAAATTTTCTGTATATACATCAATACATATTGTACACATCATGTGGTGGCCGGTGGCCTGTCCCGTCCCGTTCCGTCCCCCCTTCTCTGTTCGTTTTGTCTTTGTTCCGAATATTGTTCGTCCCGTGCCTGAGTCATATCATATCATATCGTACCACCCACCAGCAGTATGTAGTCTCTGCCTCTGCCTGCCAGCCTTTATGACCCAAATTTGTATTTGCAGCCTTATCCACATGATACGTTCCTTCCGCTACTCATGGGCCGAGAAGTGAAATAAGTGAATGAATCCAAAAACCCCTCGCTGGCTCTCGAGGCTGACGCCCGCCGCCCACCTTGTTATACACAATTTTGTATTTTTTTTTTTGTTTGCTATTTATCAAACCGTATTTATAAATATACAACTGTAACCCAATTACATGTGCAATCTTTTTAATTGCGAAATGAGTCATTGAGCAGGTAGCAGACCATGCGTCGCAAAGGTTTCGTTTCGAGTATTTCAAATGAACAGCCAAAACCAGCCAGCCAGATAAAAACAGTTCATGGCATGCTTTAACTGCAGCCGAGAGCGCCCAATCAGTATTTATATTTAACAGGAAATAAAAGTGCCATTTATATTAAAATATGTCCGGGCTGAAAGACCGTTGAAATTTATCATTGATATACCGTTCATTGCCAGCAACATGTGCAGGAAAAAATATTTATCATTCCATTCACACTTGGGTTTTTTATTTAAAACTTACTTATTTTATAATCAATCGTAATAATTATTCTGAAAACTAAAAACAAAGCATGGATCCAAATGAAATATTTACAAACATTATTGTGTTTCGCGGATTGACACAAGGTGTTCCCCTGTTTAAATAGAGAGGGGCTTAGTGGGTTTAGTTCGTTCACTCATCACTCATGATTTATGGTATATCGGTATATACAAATATATATGTATAATCAAGTTCCAATCTATTTTTTTAAGTAAATTAAAGTACTCTACTCTTCAAAATGACCGCCAAACCACTAAGCGCACAAAAAATACCGAAATTTTTCGGAAGAACAAATCGTGGTGGATTTCAAAAGTTGCCCTCTTTTGTCTCTTTGGCCGCTTTGTTTGAACCCTATTATGTAAACAATGCAGTAAAAGGGGATAACTGAAAACTAGCGAATCCTGTGAAAAATTTATTGATAAATCGGATAAAATAATTTTTTTTAGTGCTGAGAGGGGTAACTAGCCAGTAATATTAAACCGAATATAAAAATCGAGAAATATCAACGCATCTGGTCGTGTCCGTCAGTATATTTACGGTATATTTTGATAATGAAAAGTACATTTTGGTATAATTCGGAGGGTCTGGCCGTATATTTGAACGATAAGTGGTCACACTGACCAACACACTCATACGCGCGCACTGCCACATTATTCTGCAGAAAAATTATTAAAAAAGGCCCGAAACGAAATCCATTGTGGGCGCGCAACAGAGGCGAGTCAGAGAAGAGAACGGTAGCCAAAGTGCAATCAATCTATAATGCAAGCTGCTGCTGTTACAGCAGACGCAGTCGCATAATCGAACAATTGCTGCTGCCCGATTTTCGAGACGAGAGGAGACGGAGTTGCGGGTTGTTGTTGCTTCTGCTGCTGCTGCTGCTGGTCGTCATTCGCCAGTAGTCGCCGCCGTCGCCGCTGCCACCGCCACCACCCGTCGTCACTGTCGTCGTACGTGGCGTTTATTTGTACAATTGCCGCCTCGACAACGACACGGCTTAATCAGAAGTCGTCGGTCGGAGCAGTCCGAGGTCGTCGCGAGTGCTGCTGCTGCTGCTGGAAGTTGCACCATCAGATCCAGCAAAGCCACCATGACGGACGCCGTAGGCAACGCACTGGGCGAGAAGGGGCTCCCGGAAATGAAGGGCTGGCTGCTCAAGTGGACGAACTACATCAAGGGCTACCAGCGGCGATGGTTCGTCCTGTCCAAAGGAGTGCTGAGCTATTATCGCAACCAGTCGGAGATAAATCACACATGTCGTGGCACCATCTCGCTGCACGGTGCCCTCATTCACACAGTCGACTCGTGCACCTTTGTCATCTCGAACGGCGGCACGCAAACTTTTCACATCAAGGCCGGCACTGAGGTGGAGCGACAGTCCTGGGTGACGGCCCTCGAGCTGGCCAAGGTGAAGGCCATTCGGGCGATAGAAAGCGAGGAAGAAGAGGAGGAGGAAACGGCCCAGGTGGTGCCCAGCCAGGAGATCAGCTCGGTGGTGCGTGATCTCACCGAGCGGCTAGAGAATATGCGCACCTGCTACGATCTAATCACCAAGCACGGAGCCGCCCTGCAGCGGGCCCTCAACGATCTGGAGTCCAACGAAGAGGAGTCGCTGGCCAGCCGCACAAAGATTGTCAACGAGCGGGCCACGCTCTTTCGGATCACATCGAATGCGATGATCAATGCTGGCAACGACTACCTCCACTCGGCGGAGTCGCAGGGCTACAAGTGGTCCAAGATGCTCCACCACGAGCGCGAGCAGCGCCAGAAGCTCGAGGAGATCATCGAGCAGATGGCCAAGCAGCAGTCTCAGATGGAGCAGGCCGCCGTTCTGGTGCGTCAAAACAAACCCGTTCCGCCCATGGTTTCGTCCAGCACCACAATGTCCTTGAAGGCTGGCGGCAGCAGCTCCAACACGGCTCTAACGTCCGACGACGAGACGGAGTTCTTCGACGCCCTGGAGCACGCCTTCACTGGGGATGGCACCTTCATCCTCAAACTGAACAAACGGCGCAGCAGCTCCGAGGACCAATTCGACGGCCAGACGGGCAGTTCCTCGGAAAGCGACGAACAGAAGCGCACCATCAAAACCATCCAACAGGTTTCTCTGGTGAGTGCGCCCCGTGTGGCTTCCGGCGGAGGTCACAACGACGACGACAACGATGACACTGTGGATCGGGCCGCCCAGGTGGAGAACAGAGAGTCGCGGCTAAGCAATATCAGGAGCAGCAGGGCGGTGAAGACTCGCCGCCAGAGGGTGCCGGACAAGCCCAACTATCCCCTCAGCCTGTGGTCCATCATGAAGAACTGCATTGGCAAGGATCTCTCGAAGATTCCCATGCCCGTGAACTTCAACGAGCCGCTCTCTATGCTGCAGCGCCTGGTGGAGGACTACGAGTATTCGGATATACTCGATGCGGCCGCCAACTGCAAGGATGCGTGCGAACAGTTGGCCCATGTGGCCGCCTTCACCGTTTCCGCGTACGCAACGACAACGAACCGCACGGGCAAACCGTTCAATCCACTGCTCGGCGAGACCTTCGAGTGCGATCGCATGGACGATCTCGGCTGGCGCTGCCTGGCCGAGCAGGTCTCCCATCATCCCCCGGTCGCGGCGCTTCACTGCGAGAGCACCAAATGGGTCTGCTGGCAGGAGTTCTCGATGACCAGCAAGTTTCGTGGCAAATATGTTCAGGTTTGTGTGCACAGGGGAGGACATCTATTTATATTCTGTATTGAAATCTTGATCCTTTCCTGCAGATAAATCCCTTGGGCGGTGCCTATGTGCAGTTCCCACAGAGCGGCAATCGCTACACCTGGCACAAGGTGACCACCACCGTGAACAACATTATTGTGGGCCGCTTGTGGGTGGATCAGCACGGAGAAATGGAGATAATTGGCTCCCATGCGTCGCAGGGCAACAAGTGCATCCTGAACTTCATCCCCTACTCCTACTTCAGTCGTGAGGTGCAGCGTAGCGTCAAGGGTGTGGTAATGAATCAGCGCAACGAGGTCAAGTGGGTGATTCGCGGCACCTGGGATGCCCAGATCGAGATCGCGCCCGTCCTCAAAACATCAGGCACTCCAGACAGCCCAACATACACCACGGGCGAGTATAAGGTGGCATGGACGCGTCGTCCCGCACCAGCCGATTCCGAGAAGTACTACAATTTCACGACACTGGCCTGCCAGCTCAACGAAGAGGAGGAGGGCGTGGCACCAACGGACTCCCGACGACGTCCCGACCAGCGGCTGATGGAGAGCGGTGACTGGGATGAGAGCAACAAGGAGAAGCTGCGACTCGAGGAGAAGCAGCGCACGGTGCGCAGGCAGCGGGAGAGCGAGGCAGAGCATGCGGCCTCCGAGGGCAGACCCTATCCGGCCTACGAGCCCATGTGGTTCAAGCGCGAGAAGGAGGAGGGCAGCGAGGACTTTGTCCATGTGTACAAGAACACCTACTGGGAGGCCAAGGAGGCGCAGGACTGGAGCGGTTGCCCCGAAATCTATTAATCTACAGCAATTTACACGCAACAGAGAGAGGACAGCCTTAGCAGAAAATATTCTAAAAAGATTTCTTCAGCCTCGAAGCACGCGCAGAAACGGCAGAACCATTGGCATATACACAAACACACACACACACAGACACACCTAGCACACATTCTTCGATCTAGTGGATATATAGTACTATAAATTGAATGCCTCTGTAACCTAGCTAAAGCCTCCTTCTACCCGCAGGGGGCGGGAATCTTCAACGAAATCTGTTTTGTTTTGTTGTTCTCTTTTCGGTTCTTCTGTTCTATCCCGAGCATTTTCTATACCCAAAATACTTGCAGATTTATGGCACAACAATCCTTTTTTTCTATCTGTTTCGTAGAGATCCCCCATCCAGCAAGTGGAACAGCCCCCCTCCACTCTAAACCCAGCCCAACCCAACCCCCACACACGGCCACAAAATGGGTTCTGTTCCTTCGTCATGTTTTACATTATGTTGTGTATATACATATATATCTATCTATATATCAAATGGAATTGGAGAGGAGCAACAAGAAAGCGAGTGAATCGAATCGAGAGAATATGTTAAATGTTATAAATTTATGCAATTTATTATTAAAGTATTATTTAAATAAAGCAACAATTGTGTGTGTTGTGTGTTGTTCAACTCGCAGAAAAAGACACCTGGCCAACTGTTCGATAAGGCCCACCCACAGGCAGCAGCTGCACCTGCACCTGCCCTGCCCTGGCGACTGACTCATTATCACTTTATCCATCGATTAGGCGGTGTCAAAGTGTTATCAACTAAAAACTAAACTACACAGAAGATAACAACATTTCTGCTCCCGCGGGTCACTCGCCTTGCCTTGCCCTACCCTGCCCTGCCCTGCCCTGCATTGCCTCATCAATTATTTTCGGTCGTCTGCGATGGAGAAAATATATGCAGGGACTTGAGCAGGGCCTCCACCGATGGATCGCGGCCCTGAAAGCGGCGGAATACCTCGGCGGTGGGCACTGAGCCGCCGGAACAGAGGAACGTCTGCTTATATCGCTTGCCCACGGCCGCATAGTTCTCGTCGCTGCGTTGCGCCGCAAAGCTGCTCGAGATGTCGGCGGCTATCATCTTGGAATACAAATGACTGAATTGGGCGGCTGCCCAGTCGCCGGAGAATATGTCAGTCATGGAGCAGGGATGGGCGTCCTTCTTGTCCAGCGGCATGCATTGATAGACGGGCCACAGCTTGCGCACGATATCCAGCCAGAAGGCATTCGAGCGATGCAGCTCCACATCGAGATCGGCGAGATATAGCTCCTGGCAGAGCTGATAACCGGCCAGCTGCGTCTTCAGCAGCGGCATCTTCTCGGACAGGGCAGCGTCGATGGGCTCGTCGCTGGCATAGTGGCCGGAGAGGCTGCGCAACACGGTGGGATCGTCAAGGAAGTTGCTCATCACATAGCCCGACACCTGCGACGCGTCCCACTCGATGTTGGAGAGACCGGCCAGGTCGCTGTAGCCAGCTTGAGTCAGCAGATGCTGCAGTCCACTGCCAAAGGTCTTGAACATCATCTGCAGGTCATCGTAGCTGAGGAGCGGAACCATGCCCTGCGCCGGATCGGCAAAGTTGAAGATCAGAGCGCAGAGGGGCGTGAGACCCGCCGACTTGTTGCTGTTCCGTATGCCCACCATCCAGCCATTGTTCCGACCAAAGCGGTGCTCCTTGGAGAAGCAGTCCACATAGAAGCCACCCACGGGCGCCGAGCCGTTGCTCACATCCCCGTCGAACACATCGAAGAACTTGACGGCCGGATGCCACACCTCGGCCTTGGGCTGCTCCACAATGCGTATGTTGAACAGTTTCTCGCTGAGCGAAAAGAGGCCCGAAATCACGCGCGGCAGTGGGAAGAACTCGCTCAGCTTGTCCTCCAGCAGATTGTGCTCGGCCGCCAGCTGCTTACGCCTCCAGTAGCTCACATCGTAGGCATCCAGCTTGTAATCGCAGCCGCTGTCCTTGGCAAATTGTTGCAGCTTCTCCAGCTCAACGCTTTGGGCGGGACCCGCAAATTTCAGTAGCTTGGCAAAGATCTGCTTCAGATTGTCGACACTGCCGACCATTTTGGTCTGCATGGACATGTCCGCGTAGGTGGTGTAGTCGAGGAGGTTGGCCTGTCGGTGGCGCAGTCCTCGGATCTTCTCCAAGTGCGTGCTGTTCTCCAGAGCCTTGTCCTGATGCGCCGATGCCTTCAATACATTGGCACGCCACACGTTCCAGCGCTGCAGACGCTCCGGACAGTACTTGAGGAAGCCCTCGACTATCTGCGGCTGCAGCGTCACCTTCCAGGGACCCTCCAGCGGCTGGTTGGAATCCCGTGCCGTTGCCTCCAGTAGTGCGGGTGGAAAATCACGCACCAGCTGAAAATCGCTCACCGCATGCCCAAACGAGTGCACGGCCATGGTGACCTTGTTCTTGAAGCTGGCTCGCTCGCGACCCAACTGTGTCAGCAGCTCCTTGAGCCCGTCCTGGGAGTCCTTGCTCAGCATCAGGCCATTCAGCTTGCCCTCCAGCAAGTACTTCTGTCGCATTCGCTGCTCACTCGGCCCAGCGTCGGCCCCTTCATCCTGCTGTAGCAGCGCATTGTAGACAGTCTTGTTGCAGTACTTGGCGGCGCGTGCGTTGCGCGCTCGTTCGTGTATGTTCATGTACGACTTTGTGGGTATCAGCGTACTGTTGCCCAAGTAGAGCGCCTTGGCCACGCCCCAGGTGGTCTCCAGTGGTCCGGTGACGGCATCGATCTCCCCAAAGATAGCCGCACTGTCCATCCGCTTGCCACTCTTGATGTCCTGCTCCAGAGCCTTCACCGACTTCTCCACGGCCGATGCCTGCTGTCCGATGGCCCCCAAGCACATCTCGATGGTTATGTCACTGAATGCAGGCAGCCCATCCGGCTTCAGCACGCCCTCGCCCAAGGGCCCCTCCTCACCGATTTCGGGTACACTGATCCAGGGTTAAAAAGAGGTCGTTTGAATATTCGCAAACTATTTTGGAGCTTGAGTATTTACTTACAGCACGATGTAGCCCGGCCGGCAAGGTGAGGTGTGCAACAGACTGCGCTGGGCGGTGTGCGCCGGGCAGCGGAGCAGGCGACGCTGTCGCAAAATGTTCAGCATGTTCACTTAAAGCAATTGTACAGCTAGATATTTACAAATCCTAAATGCGTATACCCAAATTTATAAATTTTAAAAATAAAAAAGTTGGGTCCAGCTTTACACAACAGCAGTGTGACCCTATACCGTAACACGCGAATTTCAGCTGACAGCTGCCAGAGCTGCCACCAACATACAATTAATGTGGGTATTCATGGCATTCGAAACCAATCAGATTTCAAATGGCCGGCAATTTTGGGTTTTTTGATTTTTTAATTAATTTTTTTTTTGGTTTTTGTTTTTTTTTATATGCCGAGCATAAAATACACAATGAAAATTGAAATACGAATTATATAAACTAGAACTAAAATAAAACTGTAAATTAGCTTACAACGTAATTAACGTAGTCCAACTTAAAGTTCGTAATGGTTGCAATTAAAGGAACATAAATAAACTAAACTTTTTTAGCACTCTAACATATTTGGAGCATTCGCATTGCCGTCAGTCTGTTCGTCCTCCTTCGCATCAGTGTACTGCGAGCTGCGTCGCCGCTTCACTATTTTGCCTGGAGACTGGCACAGTGGTGACGGGCCAGAAGAGCTGGCGGAACTCGCCAAATGCTGAAAATTAAAGTGTACCCATTGTCTGTGATTGATCACCTGCTGGGGGACATCCAATATGCTGTCCAGTATGGGTCCAGTTATCTTTGTCGGGTCCAGGTCCACCAGGCGGGATAGCTTCTGGAAAGCAGCTTCAAGCATTTGCATTACACTCAAGGCTGCGTACGAGCTTCGTCCAATGTCGTTGGTCGGTGTGATCGGATCCTGAATGCTCAAAAATGACTGCCAGTTGTAGTTGCCCATGGTAGATCTCAGGTGTTCCTTCGTCTGACAGCCTCCATTGCCCAGCACCGAAATCACGTACTTGTTGAAGTCGAATTTGCGTCCATAGTACTCCAGAAACTTGAGCAGCAACATCCCCAGCCTGTTGTTGCTGCTGTACTTTTTGTTGGCCTGCGCCTGATGCTGGAGAAAGCCGATGCACATTAGGGTAATGGCGTAGGAGGAGATGCCTCCCGAGCGATAGACTTCGTTCAGACCGTGCATCGCGAGGAACTGCTTCAGGACCATCACAAGCTTTGGCAAATCCGGAAACTGGCGAATAAAGTCCTTGATCAGCTCGGCCGCCTTCACACCGGAACCCACATTGAAGCTGATGTCGAATTTGATTTGCGACACGCGCTCCGTGAACTTGACCACGGGCACTGCAGCCGTGTCCACCACGTTGACTGTGTGCGGATCGGCGACACCGCGTGCCACAAGCTCACTCTCCAGCTCGTGCAGTGGCGGATTGTACCAGTAGCATCTACGGTTTTGGACGACGAGATCAATGTCCGAGAGCGGCAAATTCAGGCCGGTGCGAAATGAGCCAAAAACTTCGACACTGGCCCCTGGCCATATGGAGACCAGCATATCTTCAATGCAGCGCACTGCTTCTGCGCGCAGATAGAACTCCGTCGCTGTGGATTGAATATAGGCGTGAAACTGCTCAATCTCCTGATGCAGCAGACAGAGTGCCGGGATTCCGTTGCCGTATGAAAAGTTGGCTAAGCGCCAAGGCTTCGCTTGATTCGCTGCGTCACACATGATACGATAGATAGCGTTCCTCTGCCTCTATCCAAGATCCAGATACAAGTCGTCTTCCAGAAATTGAATGCTATTTATCCACCTCCTTGTTGTTTTTTGACAATTTTTGAACAAAGCGAAGCCGAAGCAGCGCAACAGCAACAGAACAGAATCAGAAAAAGAAGCACAAAAGGAAAAGGGAATAAAAATGCCGCGGCACCGTTATTTAGGGCTGCCACTCTGCTTCGATTTGGATGGCGAGAATTGTTAATCAACTTTGCTTTTAAAAAATGCGCGAATTTAATGGAAAACCTTTGAATTAAATATTTTAAGCTGAAATAATGTAGTAAAAAAAATATAGCCTTATTTGAAAACTCTGGAATAACGATTTTAGAGATAATCAAAAAGGGCTGCTGCGACAACGCGTAGGAAAAAATTAGGTTTACACGGTGCTGTTAATTGTAATCAACGGGTAAAAATATTTGTTTTTTGCATAAAATTATCCATTGGCTTGAAAATAAAAAATAACTAGTTAGAGCTTCTGTGAATTTTCAGTGAGGATTGCAAATGCATAAACGTACGAGGAATAATAAGGAATAAAAAGAGTATAAATTATAGGAAAAGATTAATAGCTTTAATGAATTCATTTGTTCCAGCTTGTTTAAGCCCCGCCTTTCAAGGAACCGAAAAGATAAATAATAATTATATATGTATTGGTTTGAACGTAAAAAGTAATTAAACAGTTAAATCTAAAATTATTCATCCTCCAAGTGGCGACGATGTTGCATCTGTAGCTCGAAGCGACGATTCAATCGCACGCCCCGAATGAACTCTCCAGTCTTCTCCTTTGGGGCGCTGCGGCTCTTGAACATTTGCATGTGCCGTTGACGTCTCTCTGCCACCTTATCCTCAAACCCGACCGGCTTGCTTTTCTGTGCAGTGCTGGCAACGACTGTGCTGGTTGCCGTAAATTTCTTGACCACGTTTGTTGATAAATTAAATGCTGGCTTTGCGACTATATTGCTGCCACTCTTCAAGGGCAAGCGGCTTTGTGGCGGCACCTTCGCCAAAGTGGCTAGACGTGGCCCATGTAACTCTCTTAGGAATTGGTTTTCAGGCTGCTTGGCTACTGTCGGGTTGCTGCACCAATCAATTTTCCTGAGCGCCCGTGGTCGCGAACCATCGCCAGCCGCCAGTGCACTCGAACTTGGCATCTTCTTAACGGATGATCCAGCTCCTGGTTCACGCTTCAAGGCTGAGCTAATCAGCACCTTGGCACGTACTGCCTTGCGATCGAGATGGTCGACCAAATTCTCCATCTTGGCGAATTGCTTCTGATGAATGGCTGCAAAGTTTGGAAGCTTGGTTCGCTTCTTCACCTTGCTGGGTGTGATCACTTGATTGCCGTTAAAGAATTCTAAAAAAGAGAAATTTTGTTGTATTTTCCGGATTTGCTTAAGGCACTGTTTGGTGGAACTTACTTGGAGAAGGAATTCGGCTCGCTTTCGGGTGGCTCTCGTCCATCGATTTCGAGCGCTTGCGTCGGTTCGTGACATCTGGAACTAGATTTATTAGCACACGACAGAAATGATTATATATATTCAAACATACTAGTGGTGTTGAGACCCTCCCAGCGCTTATCAATGTCATGGACATGGGCAACTTCAAGGGGACTGCGGAAAGAGACAGTTCTCGATTTGATATCTTCCCAAGCTGAGGCTGAATTTGAGCGTCGTTTCTTCATTTCCATGTTACCCAACTGGGCGCTACGATCATGTGCCTCCACAGTCTTAGGGGACTTACGCGACTTTGGCTTGTAAGGTGTAGGGAATCGATAGCCCTTTGAACGGTTGGGGCTTGGTTTATTTGTGTTCGTCGCTAGTGCATCGCAAGTCAAAAGAGTCTGGTCCAGTTCATCATCCGTTGTTAGAACAACTTTAATTGATGTCTTTACTGAATCAGTTATATCGACTGGGACAACATTAGATTCGTCGCCTTTTTTTTCCTCGGCGTCGAAGGTCGTGTTGAGCACAGATTTATCTTTATCTGGCTCGGCCAGGTCATCATCGTCGATCATAATCAGAGAGGGCATTTCGCATTCAAAATCATCTACCGATGCGATACGTTCGGATAGTTCTTCAACTGGCTCAAGTGGACACAATCCCAGGTCGTCCAATGTTTCATTATTTGCGACCTGTGCCGCCTGTACAGTTGACTCCACCTTTATTTCCTCTTTGCCAACTGTATCGGCCAGTGGGAACAAGCCAAGGTCATTCACATCCATCAGAATTGACTGTTTAGTTGATACCATGGTTTCCTCATCGGTCTCATCGGCTGTGATGTGTTCCACTCCGATTGAAACTAAACACTGTTCATCCTCATCTTCAGTATTTGACTTTGAATCTTTTTTCTCAGAGTTAGTATCCTCGTGTGTGACTTCAATGGTGGTCTCCTCGCCATCTATAGCTGAGGATGGCTTGTCGACTTCGGCGCCTTTCTCTCCCGGATCGGTCTTGGACTTACTGGCGGCGCGCTTGGACTTGCGACCTCGCTTACGGGAATTGCGGCCCACTTCTGCGGCAGTCCACTTTTGAGTAGGTTGCTCCTCAATTTCCTCACTCACTTCAACAACTTTGCTCATTTCCTTGGTGGCAGATCGTAGCATAATATCATCATAGTCCATCGCCGGTCGCACACTCTTGCGCGCACTGCGTCGCGGGGTTTCATTTGCCTTCAGTTGACGCATACTTGGTGGTGTTTTGGGGGGATCCGGATGGGTTGGCGACTCCATTTCAGGGTTAGCCTGGCTTTTCTTACGACCGTGACGAGTTTTCATGGCTAATGGTGTGTCTTTGTGTATCTGTACACTTTGTTTGCCGAGTGGCGTCGGCGGCAGGACGCTCAAATCATCGTGTTGGTTTTCTAGTAATGGTAAATGCATGATATAAACGTAATGGAAAATACATGTGTTCAACTTTCAGCTTACCATTAGTCGATTCCATTCCGAATTGCGTATAATATTTATGATGAAATAGCACAAAAACTAGAAAATGCCAAGCAATTTTCCCGGGCTTTACGTTTATTTTGAAGAGTTAGGGATGTGCAATATATCTCAATGTGTCAAACAGGGTAAGTTTTATACAAATATCGGTATTTTTGTGCGATAAATATAGCTTATCGGTGCTTGGGATTTCAGGATCGATACATAGTGACAGCAACAATGGCAATGATGACTCGATTGTTTCAGTTGAATTCAAACAAAAATCAAATTGAGCCGAAATTAATTTAAAATAAATTTATTAAAAAAACGTTATCCGAATACTTTAACATGTGAGCTGCCTCATGTGAAATAAAGCTAGCATCGAGATGGCATCAACGACTAGCAAATGAAAAGTACATTTACATGTAAAATGCAATTCAATAAATATAATCTACTCCTATTATGCATTTGTGGCACTTTTTTGATTAGCACTCTTCGATTATGGGAGTGGTCTGCCTGCTCAGAGCGAGCTGGTAGGCAACCTCAAAAGCTTGTCCCAAAGTCAAGATAATTTCCTTAGCCAGTTCCTGTCAGAGTAAGTACAATTTGTTGGCATAAAGGAGAAATAAAGGTAAAGGTATTCTACGAACCAAATTATCGACCATAAAGACATGGCAATAGTGCAGATCCTGTTCTTTGGTTATATATGCAAAGTACCGCAAATCTTCAGTGTCCTGGCACACACAATTGATATTCTCAATGTCATGGGAGCAGATGGCAGTCTACGAAAGCAATGAAATTGTATGTTATTTTAGGATAAGCAACGTTCAAGATGCTCTGTTCCTACCTTTTTCTCATGATCCATAAACTTAACACCGACACATGAAACCGCAATGTCCACGTTGAGACGCGTCTGCAGATTGGCAGCCTTCAGATATTTGGTGGATGTTGTGCAATTCTCGAGAAGGCTAATGTCACTGACACTCGCGGCCGATTTCATGTTCTCATCGATCTTCAGCTTCTGAATGGACTTGCGCGTGGATAGTGTGCCCTGCAATTGCCTTATGACCGTCGATCCCAGATACTAAAAACGAAATCTGTTGTAAAAAAAACTGCACCAGATAGATTCCAAGAAAAACTTACAAACAGCGAGTATCGTATTTCGCCGTAGATAAGGGTGTACGGCGAGTGACACCAATGGGAGGCGGAACTCGAAGTCTGGCTCTTGCCCAGGAGTAGTTCTGCCGGATTGCGTATGTGCAAAGAGTATCGTGGGTCATCAGCTGGCAAACTCTGGGTTTCGTCGACGACCTGCTCTTGCTCCGGCTCGGTATCTTGCTCGTATTCTGGAGATACTTCATTTCCGATATTCTCGAAAATGGTATCAATCTCTGCCCAGACACGAGAGGCGCTGAAATCCTCACCCAATGCAGAATAGCGCTGCTTGGACAAACTGCGGCGATGGTTCAGGGCATGAGCAGATCTCACCATGCTCGGTGAACATAAAAATTCACGCTCCCGTGGCACTGAGGCTCGTCCATCAGTGGTGTCTGCAGCCAAATTCAATGTAGATCCCTTGAACAGTCCCGCGAATGGAATATCGCCAACGAATTCCTCCACGTGATCCGAATTGAAAGAGTTTGTGGTGCGTGTTGATTCACTCGCTTCCAAGCTGCTATCCTTGCGCAGTGTCACGGGCAGTATATAGTTCAATATCGTATGCTCCGCCTCCGTAACCGTGGGCGGCGGGTAATCTGGCGTGGGCGAGTGACGCACCGTTCGCAATTTGTTGCCGTTGGCGTTGCTGCTGCTGTTGTTATTATTGCTATCCAATACTGCGGTTTTCGACGGCTCTCCATTTCTTCCTTCTTCTATCACCACTAGGTTCGCATAGTCATTGGATTTGCCATTTATGTGAGTACGTGGCATCGGAATCGGGGGAGATGGCAGCGACATTTCCACATAAGAAGCCACGGCCTGTTTTCGTGCTCCAGCTGTAAATTAATAGTTATAGAAAACAGATCTTTAATTAACCAACTGGGCACTCTTCATGCATTTCTCTTGTACTTACAATTACTGCTTATGCTGGCGGAGTTGTTGTCATCACTGCCGGAACCATTTCTCAACAGATTGATGTACTCGTAGGATCGCGAGGGCACCGAGGCACTGGAGATATCGCTGAACGTCTGGAAGCTAGGCAGGTGGGGCTGCTTATAGACAGGCTTGTACGACTCCCAATGATGATCCCTGTTGTCGTCCTTGTTTGTGTGGACATCGTTGAATGATTTCTGCAGTATGATCGGCTTCATGGCCAGATAGTTCTCCGGCAGCTTGGTGTACATATCCAGCGAGCTTAAAGAGTGCGAAAGTCCGTTTGCTTGATCTTGGTTTCTATGGGGAAGCATTGGGGTGGATGGTTATGGAAGAAAGACCATTAAGACCAGACCGGTTAATTGAAGAGTGTGTGGAGCATTCGATTCTGACGATGATGGAAGTGGGCGTGAGTGTGTGTGGGGGTGCAAGAGTTTGGGATGAGTGCAGTGCGTTTTCCGAATGACATGAGCTGCAGAGCGGGGGGGTTAATTAAGGTCACGACATTAACAGCAACATTACGACAGCAGTGAGAGAATGTGTTGGTTGGTATGGGCGTGCGTGCCACAAGTCATGGTTAGGGCACTAGTGCTGGGGCTTACTTCCTCTGCCTCGCCGAATCACGCAGCTTGGACAGCTTCTGGCGCTGCGAGTTCTTTTCAAACAAACGCTTCGGCAGCGACTGGGTGCCATTCTCCACGACCAAATCATCAGCTACCATCCGAGTCTGCTGGGCTACCGTCTGGTTGGTGAACTCTGCAAGAAATTGTAGCCGTTAGAAAAATGTGCAAGGCATGGCCTCTCCTCCACGCACCATTGATGACGCCCACAATGTCGTATGTGACGTGGGGGGGATAGTCCGAGAGTATATTCAGGGCAGTGCGTCCGTTGCCATCTGTGGCATGTACAAAAATGCCGGCCTTTAGCAGGGTGACCACCACAGACTTTTTGCCGCACAGCGCCGCCTCGTGCAGGGCGCTGCCCGCATGGGTGAGTATGTTGACATCCACGCCCGCCGCCAGCAGCGTCTCCACCACCTTTTTGTGTCCATTACGACTGGCCAGATGCAGACATGTGTGCGTGAAAATGTTCTTTGTCGGCGACGTGGCATACGGACTGGAGCTGGAGTAGCCCAGCAACTCGGACAGATCCCTCTCGTCCTCTCTTTTGTATGGCAGTATCAGATCTGGATAGACCCGGAGCAGCGTTTGAACCACCTGCAAGCGTCCGAATTGGGCGGCCAGATCCAGAGCCGTCTGGAAGCTGTTGTTGCGTATTGCCGGATCAGCACCATAGGAGAGCAAAATGGCCACGACAGCGTTGTGTCCATGCTGGGCACCCGAATGCAGTGGCGTCTCGTTCTCGATCGTTTGGGCATTAGGATTGGCCCCATTCGGGCTGTGCATTAGCAGCATTTTCACAATTTCGTGATGTCCAGCCCAAGCGGCGAGAAATAGCGGTGTGGAGCCACGAATATCCGGCACATCCAGCTGGGCATTGTGGGACAGCAGCAGGCGGACAATACTGCCATGACCGTTGAGGCAGGCATGATGCAGTGATGTGTATCCATTCACGTCTTGGCAATTGATGCTGGGACTGCGGCGAAAGCTGAAATATGAGATCCACATTACATTTACTACATAAATTCAATTGGAAATACTTCTGATGACTCACCTCGACAATGGTCCGTGACGTTTGGATGAATGGTCCAGTAATTTGTCGACGGTTCGGATGTCTCCACTTCTTGCTGCCGTCAGCAAATGTTGATCCTTGCCCATTGGAGCTGCGATGTGTTTAAATTACTGGAGGAAAATAAAAGTGCGAAGAGCGCACATCTTAGTGTCTTGTTCTATATTAAAAGGAATGAGATCATCGCAAGAAAATATGGAGGAGCGGAGCCCCAGACCCAGCCCCAAATTAGGTGGCAGGCAGAGTCAGCTGTTTACTTGCCCTTACTGTAAACAGAGAACCTGTCGATTTGTTGGCACATACACACAGACATACATACACCCATGGGATGGAATGTGCGCTCCACTCCGCCTCTTCCAAGGTCATCGAACGGCATTGGGGCAATCAATTAGATTGCCGCTCCACTAAATATTGTTTTACTCAATTACTATTTACCGACTATGTCCGAGTCCAGTTGTAATGTGCGCAGCCATAAACGACCCAACTTGTTATCCCCAACGATAAGAAATCATACGCGAATCGGGGATCATATACAGAGGAAAAAAACGATCTTAGCCCACTTAAACCCCCTTAATTTAAACAGACGAACAGCTTGCGCTTAATCGCGGAAAATAATACTGTTTGTAAATGTTCCTCTTAGATTCATTAAACAAAAATATGACGACTATATCTTTCACCAGAATTTCCTTGATATTCTTCAAGTTTCATAATTTTAGTGCTTGTATATAGAAACTAACTGGTCGTTAATGGGTTAATCGTTCTCTGTCCATGATCGGAAATTAAAATCGCCGATAGTGATATTCGTTTTAATATAACAAGCTAGCTAGGAATCTCAGCACCTAACTTATAATTTTATCCGTAAATACAAAATTTTTCTACATTATTGGTTAAATTTAGGGACGTCTTTTAATTGAACTTTTTTAGAAAATAAGGCTTAAACAGAATAGGTCAACAACAAATAAAAGCAAAAAACGTAAGTAACGTAAGTGCGAATGGAAAGCAACGTAATTTGACCACTTATTGCTTGACCACCGATAGTATGGACATTTGTACACCCTTTTTCCAATAATTAATGTTAAAATTGAGATTTCCAAGCTGTTTTTAAACATTATTATTGACTTTTTCTTGGATTGGCATGTTTTTCAGCTATTCTTTTCATTTAGTCTCTATATATATCTCCTTCTCGATTCATATTCTCGGTATCTGAAAGCTGCAAAATTTCGTGGTAGTAGTTTTAAAACAGACTATAGCCTGAAATTACTAAAATTACTAAAAGATATTAAAGAAATTTTGCAGCACACGGGTACCAATAACACTAGTCAACACGATTTTTCCTCAAGGAACAAAACGAACTCGGGGAGATGGTTGGTTTTTTTCGGAACTTTTTGTTTTGAAAACTGGTATTTTTTTTTAAAGCTTTTTTCAGAGGTAGCACTTGTTTTTTC